CTACTTTCGAAATTTTAGACGCAATTTTGACAAAATATTTGATTTTTTTAAAGATATTTTTAATCAGGTACATTTTTTGATTAATAAAATAATCTAATAATTTAGGTTGCCAAAATAAAACTAATATACATAGCATCCGTGCTGTTTTATGGTGATTTCACTTCTAAATAAATTTCAAGAAAAATAAAACACTAATAAAGCATTCATACAATTTTATGTGAATGCTTTTACTTTGACAAAAGTTGTTTTATGTAGATTTTACTTCTTTCAAAGTAAGCCATGGTTATATTTATTATTATTCACATATTATATTATTATATTCATATATTGTTATAACATCATTATTTGTTGTCAAATTTGATACTTCCTTAAATTTTCATGTATTGTCGCTGTAATAATCATAAATCGTATCACTTAGCTTTAAAGATCCTAAATTTTTATTAATCACATTCTGCAAATCACACCTTAATCTGTCTGAACAAATGGATAGAAAAAATATATTATTATAATATAATTTAAAATATTTATTAATTGACAGACAGTGATTACTGATTTCAATAGACTTAAGGAGGGGTGCTGCTTTAATACGGTTACAAACTTATTATTATCAAATTCAATTATTTAAAAAAATATGAAATACAATCTGACAGTGGCATAAATAGCCTCTCGTTGTAAACAAAGAAAAAAGCCACTGTCAAGCCAAACCAAATAGAAAAATTGAATGCAAAATGCTGATAACTCTTTAACCTAAGACGGTACCAACTTATAATATATCCGCGCTTGGGGCTAAGGAAATTTTATATGTTCTAATTTATCATACAAGGTTTTCCATTTTAAATAACAAATCTGACAATGTCGAAAAGTTAACGTCTTACAAAAAAACTGTTGGGATGAAAGTTGTTTAGGACAGTAGGGGTCATTTCCGTGTCATGTTATTTTATAAATGGGCTTGAAAGAGATTATGTGCAATCCGATAAAACATTTAAAAATTTCTTTTATAATTTGGGTCTAAAGACCTTTGCTTAAAAAGCTTAATAAATAATAAACATGATTGATGTTGTGACAGGGCTATAGCGATGCTCGCTGGCCCTGTGTGCGGCACTCTCCTCGCGTGAACGCAGCGACCAAGTGTACGCTATATAGCGACTACATACTTGTGTCGTTGCAGGATCTGGAGAGAGGAGCGCGACGATCGGCGAGGTGTCGCCGTGAGTGCAAGTGAGAGCGAGAAGAGCGAGAGAGAGAAAGAGCGATTTTGACTGATTTTTGATGGCGAGAGAAGTGGGAGCGCGGCGGCGCGAGGCTTAGAAATTAAGAGAGAAGAAGGGCAGTTAGGCGCGAGCTCTCGAGTAATTAGGGCCGCCTAAGGAGAGACTGGACGAGACGACATTTTCGGCCAGAGAGGAACTGCTGCCAGAAGTGCGACTGACACTTACCAGGAGAACCAGGTGTTCCAAGCCGAGCCCGGACAAGCAGCGACCATTCGCCGTCCACGGGGCAAAGGCCGTGTTGCGGCCTCTCCTGCAGCAGTCTCGGTCATCGCCAGGGCGCCGTTTCCAGCGGGCCTACGCTTTCGCCGGCGTCGCCTCTCTGTCGACGGACCGTCGGCATCCGGTGGGTCAAAAGCCTGTTTGTCTCTCTCGCGCCAGCTCTCGCTCGATTACGGACATTTGCGTATTTCGATTTTATCGCGCACGCTGAGCGATCTCGCTCGTGTGATCCCGCGAACGCTTGTCGCGGAAAGGCTGAGCGAGCGCGCTCGCCGCGGCGAAGTAAATCTTGTAGCGATATTTGTGAAAAGACGTCAATAAATGAGATCGCCATATGTAATATCATTGAATTAGAGTGTCTGTTTCTTTGTATCAACCTTCCCCAACCAGCGCGAACTTCGGCCTGTGAAAGTCAGCGCCGGCTTTCTTTACCGAGAAAGAACCCAGAAAAATTAGCAGAGACCAGCCCACGGCGCACGGAGGCTGACCACTCTTGCGATGTTACTAGCACAAATTTTTTTTATTGTTAAAATGTGAAGTAATTTATAATAATGTAGAAAGTACGATTATATAATGTGTATTAATTCATTAATTTATAGAAATGAAACTGATTGACAAAAATAAATAAAATAGATAAAAGTATGATCGTAATAGCATTTGAAGTGATGCTCATTACTTTCGAAGCATAAGTTGATTTTACGTTGGAAACTCCTTACAGTTATCAACAAAACCTTTTTTGGAATATTTTGACAAGTTATATTATACACTCTTCCATATTTTCAATCGTTGTTGGTGGTTGAATGTTAATAACATTTTTAAGTGTCCGTACAGGAAAAAATCTGGATTTGTCAAATGTGGAGATTGCGGGCATCATTCAGCAGAATCACCTGTCCTATCCATCTATTTGGAAATATTAGATCCAACTATTCACTTACACGTCTACTTTAGTGTACTGGTGCTCCGTTCTATTGAAATCACATACTTGCTCTAGTTTTCAATGTAACGTTTTCAAGCAGTTCAGGTAATTCGTTTTGTAAGAACTGTAAGTAGTTTGTACCACTTATATGATTATCAGAAAAGGATAGTCCGATTAAGATACAATCAATAATGCCACACCACAAATTTAAGTTCCAACGATGTTGAAGAATTGTTTGGCCGTCTACCCATCTTTTTTCGTAAATATCATCACTCAATTCTTCAACAATCGTCACAGTGTACACTTGTCACCTGTCAATAAATCCCATGTTCGGTTCTTTTGCGCAACCGCAGTTTGGAACGTTCTCTCGCCTCGTTTGATCGGCGTCGAGTGCCAAGTCATAGTCCATATCATTGAGCTCCAACTCAAGATATTCTTTTTCGATTTCATGTTTACATTTTTCTGCTCTTCGTTCAGTGGCGTCTTCGTTCACTGCCAGTCATGAGAATCCGACGACGCAACGAAAAATTTCATTTTCACGAAATCGTATCACATCTATATCATTTATACAGCTATAACCGAGATTCTATGGGAATGCCGGCTGTGAATGGGTGTTCACAGAAGAAATCTGACACTCACGAAATGACACAAATTCTGACATGACAAATATACATAAAAGGATATTTTAGCTCGAAAAACCATCGAAATGTTTAAATAATCATCTAAGTAGCATTCTTAAGGATCATTAATGATAATAAAATATCTCAATTATTTTTGTGTGAGCTAAGATTTCAAATTACACAGAATGACATGGATAACCGCTTTATTCGTGTTATATATATGATTTAAAGACTAACATTTTGCGGAAAGTTGTTATATGTATTCTATTGCTATTATTGTGTTTATAAGACGCTAATTTAAACATCTCGAGTATTTTTTAGCTTAAAAACAACGTATTACGTACATTCCATATGTCAGAATTCATGTCATTTTTTAAGTGTCAGAATCGTTCTGTGAACACCTCTACGTATCTTAAATCTGCGCTCACACAAAAATTATTGAGATATTTTATTATCATAATTGATCCTTAAGAATGCTACTGAGATGATTATTTAAACATTTCCAGGGTTTTTTAAGCTAAAATATCCTTTTATGTATATTTGTCATGTTAGAATTCGTGTCATTTCGTGAGTGTCAGATTCCTTCTGTGAACACCCAATCTTGATCATAGTTATATAATCAATGTAGATATGATACAACTTCATGAAAATAAAATTTTTTGTAGCGTCATCGGATTCTCATCATTGTTCACTGCTATATCAGAAATTTCACTAGAAATAAAAAACATCCTAAGGCCTGGTTAACAAATCCTGGATTTAGCGACCTTTTTGTCCTCGTCGAGCCCAATGTCTCTTCTCTTCAAATCTCTACCTAACTTTTAGGTGCACGCATCAAAAGACTGGCTGTTCTTGGTTGAGGCTCTACCCTCGGCTCAGAAGACCTATAGGAATAATCACCGAGATACGATTTCTTTTTTGTTTTTATTAGAATACGTTTAATTGTTCTCCAGTCATTTGACTTCTCATGGTTGGTAGTGTCTCCTTGTTAGCTGTGGTACGCATTTAATGGCAGAGTTTGTTTATATTTCAATTACATGCGAGTTCTTATTATCGCTTGCTATCTCTCTCATCAGTTTATCTCTATCAGCTGATAATCTCTCTCCCTCTTTCCTAATCACATAGTAAACATGCGGTAGATAAAATAGTCACCATCACGAACACACTTCGTACGTGTTTCCTGGAGGGCTTGCCCGCGATTTCAGCGTATGTTTATGTGCGGGTGAAGGGGGCTCTAGTTTTCTAAGTCATCGTATGTAAGTAGCTCATGGGCGTCAACCTTTGTTTTAACGTATGCCGATCAGCTGATCGCCGGCTGCTTTGGATCGACGTCTTTATCCAGCTACTGATGCTCGATCGCCCTAGAAGAATATATGGAAAAGCCCGTTTGCGCGTAAGAATGCGACGCTTTCCGGTGTCCAAACTGGTACGTGGCAGGATATGTGAGTGTGTGCATCATCAAATTTGACGGTGATGCACAGCATCATAGTACAAACTACTTACAGTTCTCACAAAACGAACCTGAAATCCTTGAAAACATTGGATTGTAAACTAGAGCACGTATGTGATTCCAGTAGGATAGAGAATTAGCAGTACACTGGAGTAAACGAGGACGCGAATATTTGGATCTAATATTTCCAAATAGATGAATATGTTGATGGACAAGGTGGTTATGTTGAATGATGCCCGCAATCTCCAGATTTAACAAGACTAAATTTTTTTCTATGGGGATACTTAAAAAATGTTATTAACACTCATTATTACCACTGAAAGAGTAAACAAGATTAGCTTGTTAAAATATTTCTAAAGAGGTTTTGTGTTTAACCGTAAGAAGTTTCCAAGATTCGGCCAAATACAATAATACACAATACATATATATTACTTATAACCTAGTTGATTCGCTCAATCTTCCAGAAGACAAAGTAAACAAGAAATTGAATCACTTAAATGTAATCATTAAAAAAGGTTTTTACATACCAAGCAATAATAACTTTATATCCTTTGCAGCTTGAATACCGTCTTCCTTCAAATTTTTTTCAATCTGTTTGCTTCGGGCTAAAGCCGCACGTTCCTCAGCAGACATAGCACAACCCATTCTTTCGATCGTATACGACTAGATTAGTATAAATTATCAAAATTCTCTTTCTATACAATACAATGAATATCTATATTGAATTCTAACATCAGTTATCATAAGCAATATCGAAAAATTGACGTTGACCATTCCATCAATGCAATTTTCAATTTTGTGATCCATATATTTCTTAGAAAATAAACTATAATTTTATGCATATATCATTCCCTTCTCTTTTCAAACTAGGACAAAGTTGATCCATTGATTTATCGTCTGCTAGACCTGTAAAATTAATTATATTTTATAATATTTATCATTCAATAACTAGTTAATTGAATAGGTTGAAATATTTATGTGTTGTTTATAATATTAATAATTCATCTATCACATCATCCTTCAATTTTATCATTTCAATAAATGCTATGTTTAGCGTACGTTACTGTTTTCATATACTTTTGATACAATATTTAACTAGATGAATAATTTTTGTTGATTTTAATAATATATTAGCAAACCCTAAATACGAAACATTTTTGCCCTACAGCTCTCATTAAATATATACACACTACCAGTCAAAAATTTCAAAGCATGGTTAATAAAAGGTGTATTACTGATATATATATAGTAATTTTCATGAACATATTAAAAAAAATTATTTATATCAGTTGTTTTAAGTATAGTATCGATAAAAAAATTATACAATTTATAAGAATATAATATCTGTCAATAACATATATTTAAAAGTCATGAAGACATGTTAAACAAATAAATAGAAAAAGTTAAGCTTAGACACTGTTCGCGGCGAATCCGCTCCCTTATTTTTACAATTACGCGTTCTCTCGCTTCACCTTTTACTTTTATTTCTCGCAGCAAATCACTTTTTCAAAATACGTGCTTATTCTCTAATTGCGCTGGGGATTCCCCAAAAACGTGTTGAGTCTTCTCTAAATGTGCTCATTGTTTTCATCGTACTCTACTTGCAACCGTAGATATTCCGTTTGCTACCTCAGTTTAGGACGAGTTATAAATTGTCTCGGTTCAGAGGAAAAAACACTCGTAAACCTTCCAAAACACCGTTACGCTCATCCCATCATAAACGAGTTCGGCAAGTCCAGGTTTTCCCTAATTGCCCGGGCCGCTCCGCCCGCAGCGTTGGGCAATAAAAAAGGGGACTTTCTCTCTCTCGCTCGCCGCTGGCCCTCGAGTTGCCGAACTCCGCGCGGACTCTCTTCGCTACGCTCCCGCTAATCTCTGATTGGATCCTGCGAAAGGGGCCCAAAGAGAGAGGGTAGTTTTCCCGCCTTTCCGCGCTTTTCGCCATAGGGGCATTTCCAAGAAGACGCCACGTCAGAACTGAGTCTTGAAAAAGAGTTCGACCGGAACGGTAGCCAACTATTACGCTCCTTCTCGTGCGCATCTCTTTTTTCTGCAGTTATACCGAAGCGCGATCGCTAACATATTTGTTTCGCGTCGTCTTCGACCGCTTGTATTCTTGGGTGTGCTCGTTTGCTTCGAGCAAAACGCGTGTGTTGTACCGCAGTGTGTGTAACCCTTTGACGACCATCGCAAAGAGACTAGCGACGAATCAACTCGCTGCGCTAGTAGAGGCGACTTCAGTTTCCTCTGGGGTGCTGTCAAACCCCGCGCCCTCAGATCGGCAACTCGGTGACATAGCAGTAAGGGCTGTACCCGTGTCCAAGGCATTGGAGCTGCATGCACCTTTCCTACCTGGCAGCACCTTCTCCCTTCGCTCGCTCAATCATTGTGTGTGTGTGCGTCGTCCAAAGGTAAAAGAGCTCTCGAATTCTAACAAGTGAATGGCCATTCCACCGCAACGTTTATAAAGGCTCTGCGAGCCTTATCACTTCGCATCAGCGTAATCCATTTGCTTTACTCACTCACCCTAGTAATAATAATAGTGCATTATTTTGTAATTCCACTCCCTTATCAATAACTGTATTTATAATTTGCTTCGCCTTTGCGGCTTTTTTCCTTCTCACTTCGAGGAGGTTTTTTTATGCCATTAAACGAAATCAATTTACTCAAATCTTATCCTATTATTTAGCACAACCCATACACGCTGCCTTACCTCACCTAATTTCATCATCATTAAATTAATTTTATTTATTACGTCCTACGCAAACAGACACTTTATGACAGTGCAGCAAGACTAGTACAACGTAATTGAGAGAGAGAGATAGAGAGAGAGAGAGAGAGAGAGAGAGAGAGAGAATTGACCTTTTGTGATACAGCAACCGTTTTCAGTCACTGTCCCTTGCTGCTGACTGTTGCTGCTATCGCCCATTGATGCTATTACCTCTGTTGCTTTGTTTATGACTGTTGCTGTTGTCGTTTGAAGTAACCGTGAACACCGTGGATACGGATTCTCACCAGAATTCTACACGTCAGGACTCCATCAACGACAAAAAACATGTCCCACACACTGAATATGTATCCTCAACAACCGAAAATCAGGTAAGACCACGCTCAAAAACAAACTATAAGCTGTCGAGCAATCGGCAAAACACCCAATCTGATTCACACTGGCCCTTTAATTTTCATTTTATCGTCGGCTACTCTCCGACTCTTTCATTTTTATAATTCTTGCATTCTATTTCACATCGTCTGTAGTCGTTGACGGCCAACCAGCTCATCCACTGTATCTCGAACAGAGAAACAGAAACGAGAAAATATACGTACAAATTCTCGGCTTAATTGCGGCAAATGGACGATTGTAAAAGCCAACTAACGAATTAGCAAAACTGTAATTCTCCGTTAAAAAATTGATGTTACTAAATGTCATTCGATACTGTTGTTATGCAGAATTCGTATTCCTGTTTCACTGTTTTCGATCAATTACATTTTGAAGCTATTTTCATTTGACTATTTCGAAAAAATTACACATAGAACCAAACCCCAGAAAATATTATAAATAAATTTGAATACAGATGTGTTACATGACTGGCTATTTTTTTACATCATACTATACACCAAATAATTCATAAACGAATGAAGGAAAAGAAAAAAAACTTTGAAACACACGAAAAATTATGTACGATACAATATAACTCCGACTATATCATGCAATAACGTTAATATAAAATACTTACAAAAGTGACAAGTGCTTGCATCTGCTGTGATTACAAAACAGTCACTAATGCAAACAAAATTTAGCACATACATTTCATAAAAGAATTAGATAGCTTTAATTCAAAGAAAATGGTAAAAGAAAGTCGTAAAAAATACAGTTTATAAAGTATATAAGCAATGCATGTTCTGGGCCATATAGGAGCCGCCAAAGGAAACCTCCAATATATAAGGGATATATGTATGTTCTGGGACAAAAAGAAACCATCCGCTGAAGGTGTTGCAGTATCGCGATAATGTGACACCTCTCTGTCTGTCAGTAGGCCCTTTCAGTAAACTATATGCTAACTATGGGCCCTCGGAGAAGGGATTGCGTCTCGAGCTTAGTAAGCTATATGCTGGCTAGATGTGTGCCCTCGAAGAGGGGGTAGCACCTCTAGCTTAGTAAGCTATGTGTGTGCTTACTAGGCGCGTACACTGTATAGCGTGGATGCTGCTCTCTCTCTCTCTTTCTAGCAGTTGTAATGATTTATTTATGAATTCAAATTATACAAAATTTTTACCCCACTCTTTCGTGTGACTATCCTCTCTTCAGCCTACAACGCCGAAACCGCTGCTTACAGCGCCACCATACTGCTTAAAAGCATTGATTTTGGAGGAAATGTAACTGTTCTAGCCGAAGATAAGGAAAGATATATAGCTTTCACAAAACACGTGAACGGTAGTGCCATTAATTTTCGATTTATTGATTCGTTTCGTTTAATTACATCATTTCTCGAAAAACTAGCTTCATACTTTACCTAACTAAATATCATAAAGCATGAATTCAAGAAAGATAAATAGAATAACTGAAGAGAAAACGCGTTTTTCCATAAGTAGAAAGCAATACCAAGAAAGTTGTAAGCTTCTTCGAACCTCCGATAGAAGTCGCTTAGCATAAAGTAGTAATAGTGGGGAGGAAAAAGGGTTAGTTAGTAAAAGACGAAGGATAGAATAGTGACAGAATGGAGGACAACAGTAGAGTGAGGGACAACGGTAGACATGGCGACTGAAGTCGAAGGAGTAGGGCAATGGAATCATATGAGAAATTACTCAAATAGGGATAAGGCGAAAATAGAGGGAAATGACGGCGGCTGGACTTCTCAGAGAGGGGATGCTGGGTACAAAACGAAGTAAATTTCTACGACGAGAAGGCTCCAACTTTGAATTTAAAAATTAATTTAGAATAATGTATAAATGTATATAGTGAATAAGTAATAAATTTATATTTTTAATTTTAACCATGTCTTTAATCCTGATTTAATTATTCTTTTAAATCCTTTTTTTTGGAGAGGTAGAAGTAATTACCTATGCGTCCTTACCACTGAGATTTGACTCAGTGTAAAGGTCTCTTAAGCAATGTTAGTAGTGGAAGTACCCCATAGGTGAGAACGATGGATGGGGCTCTCATTATTTCTTAAAAAAAAAATAAATAAGAAAGAGAGAAAGGGGTCATTTCGATAGCTCGAAAAGCGTAGTAGTGGAATTAGATTTTCAAATAGCGATAAGAAGTTAATAGTAAGCCCATTCTTTTCGAAGCAACGGTAAGAAGAAGTAGTAGAAGCTTAGCCATGCCAACTACAAGAGATAACAAGAGATCTCGCTTCTCTACTAAGCCTGTATGGTTTGCGAAGAAAATTAGAATACATCATCTTCCATACGAAGAAAAAGACTCTAAAAAGACATTTAGGAACAGATAGCACGAGATCGTATACGCTTCCAAAGACGTATATCCGAATTGAATAAAATTATATCACGAGTTTTTTGTTCAAAATACGTATACTAATGATGAATCGAATGCTTAGTACCATATTAAAAAATCATCACACTATATATATGTTAAGGAAGATAGAAATCTGATTCTAAATTGGTAGGAGGTGGTTGAGGTAACTCGAAAACAAAAGTAGTAGGGATAGGTTTTAAAAAAGCTTTGATCTTTCTATTAATCTATCGGAAACAGTTGATATGCACTATTTATTCAATATCATGGATTTGAACGATTTCAGTTTATTATTTAAATGTATTTTGCAACGGTAGTCGTTCAATCGATACGTTCGCGATTTGGTAGCACTCGCGATGCTAGAGCGAAAGCCTAAGAGAGAGAGGGACCGCGCGAGAGTTCAAAGTTACAGTTAAGCCTTAGCTGTTGTAGATAA